TCATTCCAGAGAACACGTGTACATTGCTCCAGAGTCCAATGGCGGCGAGTTTTACACCACTCCAGCCAACGCTTGGCATTGCGCATGGTGATCTTAGGCTCTTGAGCTGATGTTGCTTCCAGAGGCAGTTTGGAACTCGGTAGTGAGTGTTGCAACCAAGGACAGACGATTTCTATGCGCTTCAGCGTTCTGTGAGCTTGTGTGGCCTACCACTTCGTGGCTGAGCCGTTGTTGCTCCTAGACGTTTCTACTTCACAATAACAGCACTTACAGTTGACCGGGGCAGCTCTAGCAGGGCAGAAATTTGACGAACTGACCTGTTGGAAAGGTGGCGTCCTATGACGTGCCATGTTGAAAGTCACTGAGCTCTTCAGTAAGGCCATTCTACTGCCAATGTTTGTCTATGGAGGCTGCATGGCTGTGTGCTCGATTTATGTGTGTGTGGGCATATGTAGTGTGTGTTGGGGTGTCAATGTGAGTGTGGGTAGAGTCCAGTGTGTGTGCATAGTCAGTTCAAGAGAGTTAGTGCAAAAAGGGTCAATTCAGGTAGTCCAGGGAGCCATTTGATTAGCTATTTTGCAGTCTTGTTTAGTAATCTTATAGCTTGGGGGTAGAAGCTGTTCAGGGTCCTGTTGGTTCCAGACTTGGTGCACTGGTTCCGCTTGCCGTGCAGTAGCAGAGAGAACAGTCTATGGCTTGGGTGGCTTCCTGATATAGAGGTCCTGGATGGCAGGGAGCTCGGCCCCAGTGATGTATTTACCACCCTCTGTAGCGCCTTGCGGTCGGGTGCTTTGCAGTTGCCGTACAAAGCGGTGATGCAGCCAGTCAAGATGCTCTCAATGGTGCAGCTGTAGGCCAGCAGCATACCACCCTGCATCCCACTGCTGGCTTGCCTCTAAAGCTAAGCAAGGTTTTTCCTGGTCGGTCCCTGGATGGGAGACCAGATGCTGCTGGAAGTGGTGTTGGAGGGCCAGTAGGAGGCGCTCTTTCCTCTGGTCTAAAAAAATATTCCAATGCACCAGGGCAGTGATTGGGAACATTGCCCTGTGTAGGGTGCCGTCTTTCGGATGGGACGTTAAACGGGTGTCCTGACACTCTGTGGTCACTAAAGATCCCATGGCACTTATCGTAAGAGTAGTGGTGTTAACCCTGGTGTCCTGACTAAATTCCCAATCTGGCCCTCATACCATCATAGCCACCTAATCATCTTGAGCTTCCAATTGGCTCATTCATCCCCCCTTCTCTCCCCTGTTACTATTCCCCAGGTTGTTGCTGTAAATGAGAATGTGTTCTCAGGCAACTTACCTGGTAAAATACATTTTAAAAGAACTTTGAGGATCTGAGGGCCCATGCCAAATGAGGTGGAAGAGGTGCTGTCGTGCCCTCGTCACAACTGTGTGTGTGTGTGTGGACCATGTTAATTCCTTATTGATTTGGACACTGAGGAACTTTGCAGGTGATTGTCTGTGGCCTATTGCACAATCAGATGTTCTGGGTAGGTCTGCAGTGGACGTGGACGGTTGCTCCGGTTTTCGTTCAGACGGAGCCTTCTCTCCCCCTTTTCTCCCCATAAGCACGCTTGACCCTTCTCCAGAGCCGACTAATCAAGACTGGTCAAGCTCTGTTTTTATTCTGACTTCTCAGTGCTGACCTTCTACTTCTTATCATTAAAGATATTCTGATTTACGGTACATGTACACACTCGGAAACAGGACATTTTACACAGTGTAGGCTACTGTTGCCAGAATGCACTAAATGCACTAAAGGTGTATTGTCATTTGTTTGGAACTCATATGTTATTATACAGATATGCAAATAGAAAATGTGAAATAAATTCATTCAGCCACGATTGAAGGACAATTAGAAGTTGACTAGAGAAATACTTTTGCATATGAAAACCAAACGTGTTTTTGGCTAATATCATTGTTTATTATGTGTGCAGACAGAATTCAAAGGTAACGTGTTGTTTATTGTATTCTCATTATCACTATTAGTTTTTGAACAGGTATTAGTATTGTTATAGAGCTGTTATTGGGCCATTGTTCATTGTGAGGCTAGATTGACTGCTCTCACACTGACTAGACCAAGCCATTCTTTATCCAGCAAGTCATTAAGGTGTGTGAGGGTGGGCTGCAGCCTCCTCTCCTAGCCATTGAACCACCTCTAGTCCAGGAGCGCTCTCTCTCTCTGTCTCTGTCTCTCTCTCTCTCTCTGTCTCTCTCTCTGTCTCTCTCTCTGTCTCTCTCTGTCTCTCTCTCTCTCTCTCTCTCTCTCTCTCTCTCTCTCTCTCTCTCTCTCTCTCTCTCTCTCTCTCTCTCTCTCTCTCTCTCTCTCTCTCTCTCCTAAAAACCTCTCAGCCAGGGGTGTGGCCATGCAAGACTGTGCAGCCATTGTGTTTCCTGATACACATGCCCAGCGAGGAGGTGTGTGCACACAATAGTGGAAAGTTAAACCAGACAAAGGGTCTTTTTATGGGTTTCAGTATTCTGCTTAGAAACAACTGGGCTAAAAGCCATCTGGCAGCCGGTCAATGTGTTAGTGAGGGCAGAACCTACACACACAGTGGTCACTGGTTGTAATCTTGAGCCTGCCTCAATACAGTTCTGCTCATTCAACTATGTAAGATGATAAGATTCCTGGTTATGAAACTTTTTCAGATGCATTTTGTAAGTGCAAGAGTTGAGAATCAACATTTGCTGATCTTTGTGTCTCCTGAATGCTTGTTAGGGGATTTCCAACAGATTCACTTGATTTAGTGGCACAGCAGCACCACAGATCAATATAATTTGGAGGTCCGAAAATATAATGTGCAAATGAAAAGGATTTTGGATCCACCACTGGAAACATTTTAGTCTTGTTTAAGTCAGTCATGAGGTCTCCCAGTCACATTTTTTCAAGGAGGTGATTCGCTTGCCCCAGACATGCCATAATCAGTTTGTAAAAATGGGGAAAAGGCACAGACTGCACTTCCTCCATGTTAGAGACCTCAGATCTAGATATTAACCCCTCTCAGTGTAGTTACAGTGTAGAAAATGGTATTTGGTACCAGGCTTCTTCAGGTCTATAAACATTTTTTGGCCTAACATGATTTAATTTTTTGGTCTGTCTGATCCAATTCAAACTTAAAATAAAATTTGTATTTGTAATACACCAGTTGTCAGAAAATTGGCCAGATATACAAACACGTATGAATTTATTTTTCATTTTACGAGGGATTGACATGTTAGCTTATATAGAAACAAAGAGGAATTATGGTATGTGCTCAGTGCGGAGGGATGGCTGTGGACCAAGGCTGCGTTTGACTGGACTGGCTAATTAGTCCGATTACTGCACAGCTGGATTGGCGAGACTTTTTGCAGAGGTTTTTATCAAAAGGATCACTCACTCTGGGAAGGCTCCATCCCGGGAGCTTCTGCTCCAGCACACCCTCTCTATTTTAGGTCTGCAGCAGGATTCTGTCTGGAAAACAGCAAGTGTCTACATTTGAAAACACATGAAGAACTGAAACTGTGTGTGAAGAAAATGTCCCCTTTCTGTGATAGTCATTGTTTTGATCCAAGGATATAGGATTTTGGCTACATTTAGACACTGTTCAGACTAGGCTTTAGGCTTCAGCATACACATACAGTATGTGTCATTTGTTATGCTCCAGGGACATGTGTGTCACTTGTTTAGTGGGGAGGGAAGGTGGCTATGAACAAAGGAGGGCTATGATCAGTGATGTAGAAGGGTGAGATCATCAGTTAACACATTGACAAGTGGAGGAGGAAAAGACACCTGCAGCTCAGCAGATGTTCCATCCATTATCACTACCTTGATCCTATCCCCCACCATCACCCCAGCCCTATACCCAGTCCCAGTACCCATGCAGATGCCAGAGAAAATAATGAAGTCAAGGGGAAGAGGGTATCGGTGCACCTCAGCTGAGAGAGAGGGAACGAGAGAGAGAAGGGAAAGAGAGAGAGAGAGTGTTGGAGAGAGTGAAGGAAAGCAGTGCTGGCTAAGTGTTTGAAGTGTATCACTGTAGGCCAAACATCTGAAGGGGACAAGATTTCAAACATGTCACAGTATTGCCTGCTTGCACTTAACAGCAGATGTTAGGTCTCTAGGCCTGTTAATAGGTCCATACTCAGGTTGGCCTGACCTGATGAATGAATAATGTGCTGCACAAGAAAACTGAAACTAACAAGCACATATCGCCAATCGCAAATCCTTAGCTAATTTCCATTTTCACCTCCCCTCCTCCCTCCCTTCTCACACCCGCTTCTCCCCTCCTCCCTCCCTTCTCACACCCGCTTCTCCGTTACTTCCCTCGTTGCAGAATGCCCAGCCATGCTTCCCGTTTAGTGTGTAATTACTTTGGCGTTTAGTGTGTAAGGCGACGGAAGCCCTTACATTCTCCCCACGTAACGGCATCGAGGCAATTTAGCTCCTAATTTATGGGCGAGGAGTTCAAAGTTTTAATAATAATTTGTATAATATCATGGCAGGCCATGTCTGCGCTGCTGTGATAAATGGAGGCAGGATCAAGCCATTGTGATTCTGAGCATGGCGAGATATTGGTATCAAACAACTTTATACCCCCACAACACAGTCCCTTATAGGGCTGGCCGTGGCTGACCCGAGGCTGGACACGGCATGGGAGAGGAGCCAGAGTGGAGTGTTCAGGAATTATATATATATATAATAATGACTCTGAGTGATTGGGGCTAAGATTCCTCAGTGAGGAGGGAGGGTGTGCCGTATTCTGCTGCAGAAAGGACTCTCTGGCTCGCAGACCAGCAGCTCCTTGTAACATCTAGGAGACATTTAGAAGACATTTGTATCTTTTCTCACTATGATGTGGCTTCTTCCTGATCCCAGTAATGTAGATCATAATGCTCCAATGCCTCTCTTTTCGCTGACCTTTTTTCCACTCCTTACACCTCACTGTCTTACCCCACCTCCTCACCCTCTTCTCTCCTGATGCCCTGCCTGGTCTCTGTCTCTCCGTCCTGCAGTAATCCTTCAGACCAGCCATGCTCGTCTTCCAAGCCCCCATTGGGCTCCTCGACCATGACATCACGGATCCTGCTGCGGCAGCAGTTGATGCGAGAGCAGCTCCAGGAGCAGGAGCGCCAGGAGCAGCAGAGACGCCAGGCCTCCTCCACCTCGCAGTACCCCCAGACCACCGCCGGCCACAATCACACGCACGCCCAGACACCGGCCATCAACGTCAGTGCGCCTCCCAGCCTGCCCCCCGCATCCCAGCTGCCCATGGAGGTGCTGAAGGTAAGCAATAAGTATCATCTTCAGTCCTCACACCTAATGACAAAGATGACACACCACTCCCTGACTGGTTGCTTCTCTGTGATCTGACAACCATGACAACCATGCCACTCCTTACTCTGACTTCCAGAGCTCTCACTGTCACCTCTAGATGCAGGCATACATCATCAGATGTTTTGTTTGTAGAAGGTACTGTGGGTTTGACTATATTGGCAACTTGATCATAAGTCTTCTGGACAGTCGATCAAGCACGGTTTACTATGATAGGGTGTAAAAACGTGGGGATGAGTGAAGTGTGTTAAAACGCACATGGGGATTATCTTTCCTGAGAGAATTCCTCTGTAATGCATGCTGTGCTTCCAGACATTTGGATTTAGCCATCTTTAATCCTATTTGCTGAGCTACATTCACATATTTTCATAGCTTTGATTCCTTGTTAGTCTGCTCTTGGGGACTCGAGACTGTTGCACATTTTCTGAGCTAATGGAGACAGTGTGATAACTACCACAACACACTACTATACTATACTTCATGAGAGTACACCCAGCAAAACAAAGATAATTTGGTAAGTTTTTTTTTTGATTGCATTAAATGTATTTGTCTTTCTTTAGAAATAGTATTACTAATATCAAAACGTGCATATTCGAAAAAAAAGTTATATTGAAGAACTATCCCAAACTTCATATCTCAAACATTTTGCATGACTGGATAGATATTTCTCCTTTGTCTTTTCCTTAAAATATTACAATTTTCCTGTTGTTTCCAACATTGTCACTACAATAGTGTGATTGTTATCACTGTACAATATCTACAATTTTCATTTCTAAAGTGAAAAAATGGTGAGAATAAGAGTCATAAAGGATAAAGATACGAACACAATGATACAGTACATGTGGTAGCATTATAGCATGAACTGCCTGACATACTTTTCTAAAGAGCATACTGCCACCCATTCAAAAACAGTGAGGGAATGCTTTTACAATTGTTTCTCAAAAATAAACAGTGTTCACACTTTTACATTTTTACATTTTTTGTCATTTAGCAGACGCTCTTATCCAGAGCGACTTACAGTTAGTGAGTGCATACATTATTATTTTTTCATACTGGCCCCCCGTGGGAATCGAACCCACAACCCTGGCGTTGCAAACGCCATGCTCTACCAATTGAGCTACATCCCAGGCAGAACCTCATTCTAAGGATATCAGGTGAGACTGAGTCATTTCTGATTCATGGTGACTGATTTGGCTCTTGTTTATCTGTAAACGCTCTGAACATGAAGATTTACTGTAGATTTACTGGAAGCATTGTAATAATTTAGCAGTAGAAAAGCCGTAGTCCACGTTTTACTGGAATTTGTGTGATTGTTGTGGTTGAAGTTTACGCATGTAGGATTTGCCATCTGGGTAGTCAACCATTTTTGTTTGTGAAAGTTGGTTGTATCTGTGCAAGTGTTCCATATCACTGTAATATTTGATTATGTCAATAATATTGTTTTGATTGTGACAGCTGTTTGTGGAAATCTGACATAGATTATATAGATTATTCATAGAGGATTGATTCTTTGAAAGAAAAATGTGTTAACTTACTAATGTGTTAAAGCCTTAATCCCATTATGTAAAATAACATTTAATACAGTTTAAAGTAGTGGATTAGTACAAATAGTACAAAGAGCAGTGGGTATAGAAGTAGTGCCTCCCTCAACCGTTGAAACCATTGCCCTCCACATACAACATAAACATTGCTTAGCCTATACTCTGTATAATCTTTAGCTCTTTGAGAGGTTTAGGATATCCCCCACTAAAGAGTACGATAGACAAGCTGGAAGACATTTCTGTGATTCAGGGTCGGAGCTTACGGGCATTCTTCATTGACTGAAATTCTCTAAATGAAAGGCCTGTTCCTGCCTAGTACTGAGCACTGCAGAGCAGTGTTAACCTGCTCGCATGTCTGTGACTAGATTAGCACAGTCCACACACAAAGCTACACAAAATTAGTTTAGGGGTACCAGGTGGAGCAGCTGGACCTAAAAAGGGAAAACATTAAGCTCAGATGAGTTTGTCTGAAGACCGATTTGGGCCCTTAATTAACCAAGTGACCCCTGACCTTTGGAGGAATAAGTATGGGATCAATTTGGGGATCAGGACAAAGGCAAGCACAGTCTTACCAAACACCCCAATGCTAATTCAGCTAAGAATGCTCGTAATTAGCCCCACTGCTTTCATTCCATGGCATATTTAAGGGGGAAAAAACTAGCTTTGAAATCTATGTAGGATAATTTCCTAAAGGGTTCAACATGATTTCCAGATTTAGTGAAAAGGAATTAGCATATTAAGAGAAGAACAAAGTACTGTGGATAGTGTTCAGCTCTGAAAATGACAGGATGTGTTCTTTTAGATCACACTGCATCAAAGTTATGTATTAATGAAGCGTTATGTAATTATCCATGGATAATTAGTTTACAGCTGGTCACTTTGGTCCATTTTAAAGCAGCAGTTAATTCATCCAATGCAATATTATTATACCTTTTGAGACAGATTTTATAATAGATATCATTTTTAAAAGGAAATATTAAGAATTTATGAAGCTCAGGAAATTATTTCATTTAGGTTTTCTCTCATTGATAAGATTTTCATAAGGTCACCTTCTCTGTCTCTTATAACAAGGACTTGCACAGACCCTCAGCTTCATAGGGAACCATTGTTTGTTGTACTATCTGGTACACTATTGGATGAGGAAAGACAGGTTCCTTGTTTTTCCTTGAACAAATACACACTCTAGGACAGTGGTTCCCAACCCTGGGGGTACTTGGCCTTTCCACAGAGGGTACGTGAGAAGACTCATGAGACCATAGGCTTACTGGTAAAATGCACATGAGGGGGTACTTAGGAGTACTCCGGGCAGAGCAGAATTCAGTTGGTGGCAGCGGCGTGTATTCATGGATTCCAAGGGAAGCCAGGCTTCCCCCAAAATTGACCTAAAATAAAATAATGTATCTTTCGTCTCTGTGTTTCATAATTTTCCTTCAATTCGCAAGAGGCTGAATGTATCTCACAGGAGAAAGCATCCGAGTGAGCGAAATAGCGCCCCTCCTATCTCTCTACGTGTAGGCCATCTATCTGATGCTGTCTGTTCCAAACGAGTATGACATTGTTGCTGCCCGTAGCATTGAAGGCAAGTGTTGAAGGGAAGCCAGTGAGCATTTGGCCTCCCTTGATAATTTTTTTTTATAAAACATTGTTGTTGTTGTCCTCCGGTGGCTAGCTAGCTAGTTAAAATTGGCCCTTTCCTAAATTAGCCATGGATGGAGATAGGGATTTGGACTTGTGGTTTTACTTAATTCTCCATACTGGCCAATGATTATAACGGCAATTCTGATCCAACCATTAATTCATACATTGTTGTGCCCCTGGCCTGAGAGGATGGAAGTTCAATATGTAGAAGACTGTTAACTAGCTAACGTTGCCCATGAATGGAAGTTAGGCTAGCGAGCAAGCATTTTAGCCAGGTAGCCTAGGACAACCCACTGTTTTATCCACGCACCGCTACTGGTTGGTGGTACAATAACCAAAAAAGGTTGGGAACCACTGCTCTAGGTGATGGTTTTATGGTTTCATATAGAGTTACAACTGCATGCATGTCGAACATGGATAATGCTGTGTCATTGTTCTCATCCATAGGAAAGAAAGCATCCCGGACCAAAATTGTTTTAGTACGATGCCTGATTTAAAAAACTAACCTTGACAAAAAGGGTGTTTGTTTAGATGATTGTTTAACAGAGAGACGTTTGCCTTAGCTAGCTTTTCTAGAACCTGTCAAATAGTTTTTCTACGGCTAAAGTTAACATGACTCTCTGGTGATGAACATTAAGACCTCATCATAGCTCCCTAAAGGCTTATTAGTGAAGCATGCTCTTCGTCACACAAATAGTTGTACAAAAGTTACCTTTTTTATTTAGAGAAGCTAGTGGTTGTGTGCATGTGCTTTATTGTTGTGACCTCACTGTTTACTAGTGTATTACCCTGTAGTTTACTGGATGGCTATCAAAAAGAGCCCTTTAGACAAGGTGATTTTTGGGTCCGTGGACATTCCTGCAGAGTACCATCCTGATCTCCAGCTGCTAGTATCACAGTTCCTGTTAACAAGTGGCTGTTAATGTCTTAAAACCGTCAGACAATATATCCTTTTCTGTTTGTCTGGAAGAGGGTATGGAACATTCCTGTTAATGTATATAACTTGGGGCATCGCGGAATGTCCAAAGCACACAAGTAAAAAAATACAAATCTAGCCTCCCGAGTGGCGCAGTGGTCTAAGGCACTGCATCGCAGTGCTAGCTGTGCCACTAGAGATCCTGGTTCGAATCCAGGCTCTGTCGTAGCCGGCCGCGACCGGGAGACCCATGGGGCGGCGCACAATTGGCCCAGCGTTGTCCAGGGTAGGGGAGGGAATGGCCGGCAGGGGATGTTGGTAGAGCATGGCGTTTGCAACGCCAGGGTTGTGGGTTCGATTCCCGGGGGGGGGGGGGGGGGGGGGCAGTATGAAAAAATAAAAAAATATAATGTATGCACTCACTAACTGTAAGTCGCTCTGGATAAGAGCGTCTGCTAAATGACTAAAATGTAAATGTAAATGTTTGTTTGTCGCTCCCTCTTGCTCCTCCCCATCCACCCCTCCCCAAACTGAGATGCCAGTATAATGTGTGTGAGTTCTGTTCTCTTCGAGATGTCATTGACTTTTATTGGGGTGGCCTGAGGACTCTATTGATGGCTACAGCACATGGGCTGCAGAACAGAGCCCTGTCTTGTTTTGGAAGATCTATTATTTAATGTATTTTATTCTAGTAATATCCTGTTAATCAAGTTTGATCTAAGACAAAGTTAGTAGTGTTTCTTTCGTGGAAGTTATATTATGACATCAAATAAGAACCGTAAGGCAAAGAACACGTAGCACGATTTCAAATAGCTTTTAGTGTGATTTCAAATTCAGTTACCGGAGGCTTTACGTTCAATCTGTATCAAGAGTGAAATACATTTTTATCAAGCCTGCATTCTGCCATTCCCGGCAATACTAATACATGTTTTAGGTAATGTACAAATAGTGGCCAATTTTTTTAACCTGCTTCTTGGTTCACTATTTTGGGCTAATCCAGTGTTATAATCCACATTATTATTTCAATGTCTATCTATCAATCAATCAATATATAAGTAAGAAAATGATTTATATTCATTGCTGACCTTGTTCCATTGTCTCAATGACACCCTGGTAAATAGATGTCGCTATATCAACTCAATGCAATTCATCATAACAAAAGCGGTATTTACACCCCCTTCCCTCCACTGTGGAGATATTCAACATTAGCAGAAGGAATTTGACCAGGTCAAGAAAATACTGAGGGAGATTGGCTTGAAGTATGCATTGGTATTCCCTGGTGGGAACAGATGTAGGACTGGAGTGGGAACGATGTCAGAAGGATTACCGTATGATGAAGAAACTCTGAAATGTAGAAAATGTATTGTATTCATATTGTAACTTCATGTCAGATTTGCAATAACATTTGCCTGGTCACTCACTACCTTGCAGACTGATATTACCATTAGAGGTGGTACATGCATGTATTAGTCATACTAGTACAGTAATAGGAGTGTTGAACTGCATGTGAAGAAGTAAAGAGACTCTAAATGACCTTGTTATCAGATTGTTCAGCATGTTGTTATGATCCAAGAGGATGTGTGAGTGGCACTTTCTAAGAGAATCTCAATGCTAATTAACTGCACAAATTCATTAAAACACAAGTGCACAAACACATATACACTTGCCTAGCGGTAAGAGCATTGGCCCAATAACCGAACGGTCGCTAGTTCGAATCCCCGACAAGGTGAACAATTGGCCGATGTGCCCTTGAGCAAGGCACTTTACCCTAATTGCTCCAAGTTCGCTGTTGATAATGGCAGACCCTGGCCGTGACCCCACTCTCCGAGGGTGTCTCAGGGAGAGTTGGGATATGCAAAAAACACATTTCCAATTCACACATGCGTATAATACACACTTGTACATATGTGAAATAAATCAAATATAAGCACCTACCAAATTATTTCTAGGGGTTCACAGCGAAGCTATTGTCATTCTTAGACTATTTGATTTTCCTGGTCAAATAACTCAGCATATTACGTTTTTTCTAATTTGGCACACAGAAACTAAAGGCCTTGAGAAAAGCTAAGAGATTGGTTAAGAGATGGATGAGTTATTGATAAATCAGGGAATCAGATTTTACGTGTCCATTTAAATTCTTTGCAAATCCACTTCACAATTGCTTATCAAATATATACTTTTTAGGGTCGTCAAAGACATTACCATGATGAACCCTGTTAAGTTTGGCATTGATATCTTAAAATATAAGGAAAGTAATTACAATGCTTAAAATAATCATTACAAATCTTCTTCTCATGGACTATAAATCAGATTCACTTCAAATTTGGTCTTTGGACTCATCACAGTAGTCCCTAAAGAGTTTGAGAAAATAACGTTGATGCATTTAAAGATGGCCAGTAGATGCATATTAGCACATACGCTAATAGGCTAAAATATGCTAAAAATATTGGCATGTTGCATTTATATTTTTGTTCAGTAGAAATTGATTACATTTCACCCTGTATTGTTATGGTTTCGTGTTTGACCCTAACCAAGGATGTGTGTTCTTCTAAATAGCTTGAAAAATTAACTTAAAGCATTAACTTAAAGCATGTTTTGAAAGATAACATACACTGAACAAAAATATAAACACAACATGCAACAATTTAAAATATTTTACTGAGTTACAGTTCATATAAGAAAATCAGTCAATTGAAATGCATTCATTCTGACTGGGAATACAGATATGCATCTGTTGGTCACAGATACCTTAAAAAAATAGTTATGGGTGTGGATCAGAAAACCAGTCAGTATCTGGTGTGACCACCATTTGCCTCATGTAGCGCGACACATCTCCTTCGCATAGAGTTGATCAGGCTGTTGATTGTGGCTTGTGAAATGTTGTCTCACTCCTCTTCAATGGCTGTGCGAAGTTGCTGGATATTGGCGGGAACTGGAACACGCTGTTGTTGTACATGTCGATCCAGAGCATCCCAAACATGCTCAATGGGTGACATGACTGGTGAATATGCAGGCCATGGAAGAACTGGGACATTTTCAGCTTCCAGGAATTGTGCACAGATCCTTGCGACATGGGGCAGTGCATTATCATGCTGAAACATGAGGTGATGGTGGCGGATGAATGGCACGACAATGGGCCTCAGGATCTCGTCTCTGTATCTCTGTGCATTCAAATTGCCATCGATAAAATGCAATTGTGTTCATTGTCCGTAGCTTATGCCTGCCCATACCATAACTCCACCGCCACCATGGGGCACTCTGTTCACAATGTTGACATCAGCAGACCGCTCGCCCATCTGCCCGGTACAGTTGAAACCAGGATTCATCCGTGAAGAGCACACTTCTCCAGCGTGCCAGTGGCCATCGACGGTGTCGGTTACGACGCTGAACTGCAGTCAGTTCAAGACCCTGGTGAGGACGACAAGCATACAGATGAGCTTCCCTGAGACAGTTTCTGACAGTTTGTGCAGAAATGTTTCAGTTGTACAAACCCACAGTTTCATCAGCTGTCCAGGTGGCTGGTCTCAGACGATCCCGCAGGTGAAGAAGCCGGACGTGGAGGTCCTGGTCTGGTGTCGTTACACGTGGTCTGCGGATGTGAGGCCCGTTGGACTTATTGCCAAATTCTCTAAAATGACGTTGGATTCGGCTTATGGTAGAGAAATTAACATTCCATTTTCTGGCATCATCTCTGGTGGACATTCCTGCAGTCAGCATGCCAATTGCACCATCCCTCAAAAGTTGAGACATCTGTAGCATTGTGTTGTGTGACAAAACTGCACATTTTAGAGTGGCCTTTTATTGTCCCCAGCACAAGGTGCACCTGATGATCATGCTGTTTAATCAGCTTCTTGATATGCCACACCTGTGTCAGGTGGATGGATTATCTTGGCAAAGGAGAAATACTCACTAACAGGGATATAAACACATTTGTGCACAAAATTGAAGAGAAATAAGCTTTTTGTACTTATGGAAAATTTCAGGGCTATTTCATCTCATGAAACATGGGACCAACACTTTACATGTTGCGTTTATATTTTTGTTCAGTATAGTTACAGACTTGCACATTTGGTGGTAAGACAGACAGACTGTCTTTGTCTAGACTAGAGCGTGGCCAGGCTTGCTACAGTCAATTTCCACACATGGTAGATAAACACATGTTTAGCAGCACAACAGATTGTAAACTCTGAATTAGATTTGTCTTAAGAACATATCTTTGTTTTCATTGCTGGTTTATTATTGTTTATTTATCGGTTGGTCATCTTTGCCATTGTTGGAACCCTTGAATGTATTGAGTGAACTGTCAAAGGATATCTGTTGGTAGCAACTTCATGTTAGAGAAATTGTTACAGGTCGCTGTAGGCTCATGTTTAGAAACTGTGACATCTTATCATGTAAGTAGCACGCCAGGCTCCTGTGAATGAAGTAGACCTTTCTTTGAGCTTTATTTTATTACAAATATTTTTTATTTAAGTATTTTAATTTATTTAGACAAAAAATGAATATATTATGTAGCCTGTAGTTTCCATTAAAAGTTTTAGCTCAATGATCTGATCATCCAAAGACAGAGATAGCAGAGGAACCAGCCAGTCAATGTGCGGCGGTAGCCATGCATGGTGTTAAAGAAGAGATGAGTTATCTGGCCCCGGGCAAGTGTGAGTAGACACGGTGGACTGGCCTGGCTGTAGAAAGGGCCTCTTTGTAAGACTCCCATTCTGACGTCAAACAAGCAACATAAAGGCATACATTAATATTTTACATAAAACAACACAAACTTAAAAAGGTTCATTGTATCTTACTCAGATTTGTTAACGTGTAGCTAATGACTTTTTCTCCACCTTTTATAAGCTGAGCTGAAAGTGTTCCTCCCCATATTATCAGTATCGGAATTGGAGCATCACAGGCACAGTCTCTCTGGTCCTGCTACATAGTCAAAGGGAATATAATTATATAAGTTTTAGCATCTCATTTTTGAGTTGGAATATAAATTGTGCAATATGTTGGAGATGCTTGAATACCATAATTATCAGGTAGGCGCAATAATATGCTTATTGAAATCTATTTTCTTTTGGGACAGGTTATATTAAAAGCACTGGAGATATGTCCCTTCTGCCCATTTTTGTGGCTTTAAGTTCTAGGGTTTAAAAGGTTACAGTAGTGTGAAATGTTATTCATGTGTTTATAACAAGGGATATTTTTTAAGCAATAGAGAGGATGCAATTGTGCAGATCCAAATTGTACAGCGGAAATATGAATAAAATAAATGTCTGATCACTATTTGTTGATCAATAAAGGGATCTTCATAGTGATACTTTATACAATTTCAACCCATAGTTGACTTCCCCTGGTCAAGTCAATTACAGGATCACTAGTTGAGCTGACATTTATTTTCATATTTTATTCAGTAACCCAGGTCCAGTGGCTTTGTCAAAGGAGAAGACACTGTCACTCGACTCCTTTTATTTGAACTAATTGCTCTGCCTTTTGGTTTCTTTACATCTTTTACTAATGCTATTTCTTTATGATTGTTATTATCACTGAATGGAAAAACATGTTCAAGGCTGTTTATTATTAATCAGTGAGATATAATATTGAAGGCTCCTTTCTTGAATGCACAGCACAACTGAAACATGACCCACAATCATTAACCCATCATATCAGAGTTTAAGGATTCTGCCTCTCCCTCTCCTCTCTTTACTCTCCTTTCCTCCTCTCTCCCTCTTCCAGGTGCAGACTCACCTGGAGAACCCCACCAAGTACCACATCCAGCAGGCCCAGCAGCAGCAGGTGAAGCGCTACCTGGGCAAGATTGGCTCCCTGCCCTGCCCTAACCAGCCCGCTGACCACGGGGGCATGCCTCCGGGGCCGGGCAACAGTGCCCCCAACAGCCCCATGGCCTTACTCACCCTCAACGTCAACTGCGAGAAAGAGGTAAAGCTTCTCTCGCAGACCTGGCTGCAACATGGCCATAGACACCAAGCTACAATGCAGTGTGTGTAAATTCTGTGTGCTTTTCATTCCATGATCTCTGCCAATTTTCCATTACTTCTGCTTCATAGCAATGTGTATTCAAGTAATGAATGGTAGTAACACCATGAATGGTAGTAACACCATGCATATTCATTGAGCAGGAAATGTGATCGTCTGTTGAGGAGCCCTTTACACTCGTACCCGTATACGGGTTGAAAATGGCAGATTTGGACACTGATAAGCACCTCAATTGGAACACAGTGTACAGTAACATGCTATACATGATGTCAGAGCTCAGGTTCTCCACTTCACAGCTCTGTATGGGTTTTGACTGACAGCCGTTCTGAACTTGAGCACAGCATATGACAAGAAGTTGCCCCCATCCCTTCCGCTAACTGGGCAACTTTGATCATTTTTTTGTTGTCTGAGTGAGGGAAATGCTGTAAATTAAGAGGACTGTGTATTATGAAAGATGAGACGTTGAGGATTATAATAAATACCGCTTTGATGTCATACAATCAAGCCAAACACCAAATGGGCAATTCACATTTCCATATCATAAAACCATGTAATATACAGTGTCAACGTTTATGATCACTATGTTTGATGTACAGTTACAAGATGACATGGCGTTATACCCTGGGTTGTCCTGAACAGAATGAGCCTGTTGTATTGTAAAGAAGATTTGCCACGGACCACGCATCTGAATGCACTCATGACTCAATTCTATTCACACCAAAATGATGATCTGCATCTCTGAATTGCCTTGTGAAAGCCTAACGCTGTAAGATCGTATTTTATACGATTTATAATGGACATTTTTTGGATTGCGTAAACAACAACAGTAAAGGTGGGAATGAAAGGCTGTGTTCCAACAAAACAACTACAAGTGTGCTTGCTCTAGTTCCTCACCGGCACAGCTAGGAGAGCTCCAAAAAGCACCTTATAGTTGAAGAATCTTTGTTGAGTCATTAAAGTGCATTGAAATTACTTAGAAACAGTGCAACCTTTGGAGAAAAAAAAGTGTAATCTCGAATTTAACTACTTTTTTTTTTATTCTAGATGGATGATGTCATTGATGACATAATTAGTCTGGAATCTAGTTATAACGATGATATCCTTGGATTAATGGACCCAGGGCTTCAGATGGCCAATACGGTATGATTGTCTTCATTTACGTACCTGTTCATAGAAAACCCAGATAGCCTTTTCATAGTAGATGGGTCTACAAAGACAGCAGTGTTTGCATACAGATCATGGTGTAAACAAAAACAATGTAAGGGTTACCTACTCATGTTTAAGCACCACCTGTGCCTGGTCTATTTGACATGCTAATGTTAATAATGTCTATGGTTATCTTGTCTCATCAGATCGCTGTCAACACTAACCTCTTGGAGCTGTATGGTAACCAGGGAATGCCCCCTCCAGGCCTGGCCATCAACTCCTGCCCTGCCAACTTGCCCAACATCAAAAGGGAATACTCAGGTGAGCAAAACCCCATGGCATGAAAAACATCCAGATTCAAACATGGTGTTACAAATTACTCTCGAGGCCTTTGTGATTTGAGAAATATGCTAAAAGGGTCAGAAAAATGTCTATGCATGTGCTTTGCATGAATATTGTTTTTGATTATTGTAAACTTGGGTATTTAGTAATTCAGAATAAGGAGAAATACGTTGAACATTTTATGTGCCAAATAGTTTCCCAATCTCCGGCCATCATGCACATGCTGGACAAGTCAGAATCATGTGGCAAGTTTGAGAACTATCAGAGGCCTGAAGGGTTTCCTGTAGGTACGTCTGCGTATTAATATTCATATTTACGTTAGCTAACTCATTTGAGTTAGGTTACAGTGGTGCACTTTGCTAAGCCTATAATGTGCTCAGCACAGTTTCATTTATTTTCTTCCAGACTGACTAAATGTTTCTGGCATAACTATTTTGTTATGTGTCAACATCAATGTTTTGCCATTAGTTTTGATGAGTCATTAACGCTAACTGCTTTGTTTCAGAAGCAGAGGTCAGGGCAATGGCAAAGGAAAGACAGAAGAAGGATAACCATAATTTGAGTGAGTTTTGTTATACTGTAGTTATCAGCTATCTAGTAATATGATGTAGGTTATTTACATATACTCTGTAATATCACATTCCATAACATAAGTTTAATGCTGTGACATTAGCTGTTCATTATAAAATGTTGCATGATTCATTGTTTCTAGTTGTTCTCTTGTTGTCCCTATTTGCTGTAGTTGAGAGAAGACGGAGGTTTAACATCAACGACCGGATCAAAGAATTGGGGACCATGATTCCAAAATCAAGTGATCCGTATGTTGCCTAAACATTGACATCGATTTGAAGTCTTTCTATCAGATATACAGTATACCATGGCTCAGACAGTTTATTGACCCCAGGCTAGACAGGACAATAATTATACATCAATGCCTCAGTCTATTCCCAGTGCATCCATACCCTTGAGAATTTTGTGAGTTAGAACGTTGTCAGCTGACTCTAGAATGCAAAGTTCAGTCTGATAAAATCTTGCTGGCCTGCCGTGCCCCTCTCTGGTCCTCAGGGATATGCGTTGGAACAAAGGCACCATTCTCAAGGCGTCGGTGGACTACATCAGGAAGCTACAGCGGGAGCAGCAGGGGGCCAAGGAGCTGGAGAACAGGCAGAAAAAGCTGGAGCACGTCAATAGACACCTAATGCTGCGGATACAGGTACAGCACTGTAGGCCGTGGCTGACTGGGAGAGATGGGAAACTACTAGCTATGCCTAGAGCTGTTGCATTGACTGTATTACCACCACGCCGGCTGTCAAGGCATATTTTTTTTTTTGGGTGCATTACGGCCACAAAGGGGATGCCACCGTGAAATTCGAGGCATCATCAAGTGCTTGTCAAATTGTGAATGAGAGACTATTGGAGTGTGTACAGCCTGTGCAAAAAACAAAGCAGAGCTCATACGTTTTTAAGCAACTTTTAAAAAATCATCATTAGTCTCATCATGCAGCCTTACAATGTATTAAAAATCAAAACATATAGCCCAACGTTTGTAGAACAACTAAAGTTACATTAATAACTCTAAATTACGCATATAGGAGTACCTATTTCTTTGTTAACCGCTCAACACAGAATAGCCGCATGTGCGCACTCCCTCAAATTGTTTGAAGAAAATATTTATATTTTATTCAGCTTTGTTCAATTGTATTCTTCATACTATAAAATAATGCCACGGAATTATAAGCGAATCTTGTCTGCTAAATGAACTAGTGTAGCCCACAGCCATTTGGCATAGCCACATCAGGACCTAACATAAGGACAACTCAAGAGTATGCTATTATTTTATTCTGAAATAGACTACATTTTCTTCATATCATGCTTCTTTAGACCTGTCTAAAATAAATAATGGATTTATTGTGAAGGTGTAGGCTATATTACATGGATTTATTAGACTTTTTTTAAATGGCTTGTAGGCTATGTGTGGAAGCCAGGAGATGCTAAATGTGGTTATGTTAATTAACGGTCAATTGCAGTGAGACTGACAGTTATTTGCTTGACAATCACCGGCTGACAAAATTTTGTGACTTCCACAGCCCTAGCTATGCCTTCAAAAGGTCACATACTGTATTAGCCAATAAAAGTAGGATTGAATCTAGATGAGCGCTTCTATCCTCTGGATGGTATCAGTTATGCAGCTTACAGACAGACAATGTTGATAACTCTCTCTTTCCTTTTGTTTCTTTCTATCTTCCTGCCTTGATGGGGTTCAGGAGTTGGAGATGCAGGCTCGTGCCCATGGTCTGACCACAGTCTCGTCTGCCCTCTGCTCAGCGGAGCTCTCAGCCCGAGGCATCAAGCAGGAGCCAGCCCTGGGAGACTTCCACCAGGATCTGTACCCTGTCGACCCCCAGCACCAACACCACCCAGCCTGCACTCCAGACCAGGTTCAGTCCACCACCTTGGAGCTCAATGATGAAGCTTCTCCCTACACCGAGGGCCACAGCGGCATCTCAGGCGACCTCCGGATGGATGACACCTTGTCCCCGGTGGGACGGGGAGACCCGCTGCTCTCCTCTGTCTCGCCTGGGGCCTCTAAGGACAGCAGCTGCTCAGGCAGCATAAGCATGGAAGAGAACGACCATGGCTGTTAGCACTCACTGCTGCCACTCCCCCCACCTGCAGCTTTATCTCCATCCCTCCACCCTGTCCTATGGTGTTGTGCTGAGGCCTCCTCAGACGACTCCCGTCAGGAGCTAACTTCAGCCAGCTGCTGGTTGGTTTGTTTGTTGGTTGGTTGTTTTCAGGTGTTGACACATATTTAATTTTTCAGCCCTATATTTTGTTTTGTTTATTTTATGGTATCATTGGGTTCTGAAAGCGTTCAAACTGAATTTAGTTCAGTTTCTCTTATGTATTGATTTTAAATACATTTTTATAGTTCATTTTAATCGATCATGGTCTGATTTTATAATAGTTTGATGACAATGAGTCAGGGAGCGAATCTGACATACCTGTGTATAGTCATCATGGTACTGTATAGGACAGGCTTATAATAGTTATAAAGCTGTGATTGATGAGCTTATTGCTTTTAAATCTTAAACAATGTAATTCCCTCGGAATGAAAGCAAAAAATTGTGGTTAAATATATTTTTGGTGTGATACACACTACTTGCTTTTTAACAAGTCTGTTCAGAGCAATTTGACAGAAGCGATAATAAATTATTTTAATTGCTTTTGTGCTTTACCATCTTAGATTGAACTTGAATGTGACAATGCCTTAGTCAGAAGATTTTTAAACATTTCACATATAGTACAGAATGTAGTCAGTCTACCAATGTTGTCAGAAATGCAACAGTGATTTCAATACAAGCATATTTTGCTTTATGAAGATATTTATGATAATATGATTGAAATGTATTGCAATAAATACTCACTAAGGGCTGGATTCAAAACGTATCGTTGAAGGATCACGGATGTTAAAATGTAAAGGTAATTTCCGATTGAGCCAACATATGCAGCGTTTAACATGGGAACATTGCCTTTAAATTTCAATCAAGCTATAACACGGATCTTCCGCGATACGGATTGAGCCCTAAGAAGTGTATTTTAGAGGAAGAAAAATACATTTTGTTTTTAACTTGTCCATTTCCTAAATTATTATTGTTTTGTTGTACCCTTGTTAGGATTTGCCTGTCCAACATCCATTTTGAGATATTCAGGATCTTTTTTTAAATTATGTGAATGTTTATATTGTGAAGGAATATAAGGACACTGCTGTGGGATTTTTAAAAAAAGTATGACACACTCAAAACACTGGAATGACATCCATAAATTGAAAATGGTTAGGTTGGTAACCATTAAAAAATAATATGTACTAACAATATTATATTTAGTTTTTTTTAAATGCATACAATTTATTGTATGATTGATTGTAGTTATAACTATAAGCTGTACTTTTAATGTATATTTCTACTATTCAACAACTTAGCAAAGTACTCAAATATGCCTTTGATAATAACTATCTACTGTACATTACACCACTGTATTGAGAGCATGCTTACAGTGCATCCTCAAGTCTGTGGAACTATGCAATGATCACAGTTGTAGCTCAGTATTGTCTGTTTTACCCAGAAGAAATTAGACACATCATCTATTATGATTAGTAAGAAGCGGATGGCAGAATGATTTACATTGAAGTGAAGTGCCTTACAGTTGGTTTTTTATTTTACACAGATCTATGAGGACAACTATACATTTTACATTATAGTCATTTAGCAGACGCTCTTATCCAGAGCGACTTACAGTTAGTGAGTGCATACATTTTCATACTGGCCCCCCGTGGGAATCGAACCCACAACCCTGGCGTTGCAAACGCCATGCTCTACAAACTGAGCTACACGGGACTATACACTGGTATGTTGTTGTTTCTGGTGTTTGGTGCTTCATGTATGAAGTGTTGAGCTGCAAGGTCCCCAAGGGAAGCAGTAGGAAAGGGCCTTTTGTCAGACCGAGTAGAAGACCGTGTTATGGGCCTCCCATGACCAGATGGTCTCTAACACTGGACTGTAACAATGTCTCCCCATCCGTTTTGTTTGGGATGTTTTTGATGCTAGATTTTTTTTTTATGCTCGATATTTTTTTTTTAAATATCACAATTCAACTCAGAGGGCAATAATCAAAATGTTGTTTTACTGAATTCTCTGCTTCTTTTTTAAGACCAATACTTTTTCTGAATGTAATGTACCTCAGTGTTGACTGCCAAAATGTGTTTCCAAAGTCAAAGTGAAGTCTAAAATATGCAAAGAAGGAATTAACTTTGTTGTTTTCTTGACAGCTTAGCTGATGTAGCTTGATGTACGGATGTTTCTTCCTTATTTATAGAACGATAACTTAAGAAGAATGGCAATCAGGAAGCAGGTAAAGCTAAGCATCAAGTAGCCCATGCACTTAAAGGGGCATTCTCTGAAGTAACAATCCACTGCAGAATGGCCCTCGTGGTCAAACTGAACCCAGGTCTGTCTGGTGATATTTACATTTTTGTCATTTAGCAGATGCTCTTATCCAGAGCGACTTAGTCAGTACATACATTTTCATACTAGACACAGGCCTGTCATTCACTCACTGCCCTTTGACTGAACCCAGGTCAGCATATCATTGAATGCATAGAACTAACATTTCCATTAAAAGCAATGGTGACAGTTGATTGAAGCTTATTATTTGTAAATACACATTTTAATTTTGATTGGGTCCACTACCATGGAACAGTTTGGGTATACCACTAACATTTGTTCACACATTGAACACACCTGTCAGCTCTACTCATTCTATTTATCTGCTGAGATTGCCACTGTAATCTGATAATGATACATACGCTGGTTAGGGATGGATCAGTGATGTCAAACTCAAGCTCATTAATTAGAACTGAGTGTGAAAACTATCTAGTGACAAACATTAAAGTCAATTAAATATTGTTACCTGTCTTTCTATGTTTTCTTTCTATTTAAGTATTTCACTAATTGTCTGTAAACACGATTGATGGGGAAATAATACTGTATACAATGAGGTTAATGAGAATACAGTATATAATGTTCAAAGACACTCCAATATAATGAATATATACAGTGCCTTCAGAAAATATTCACACCCCTTGACTTTTTCCACATTTTGTTGTGTTACAAAGTAGGATTAAAATTGATTGAATTGTCATTTTTAGTCAACGATCTACACACAATACTCTAATGTCAAAGTGGACATTTTTCTTTTTTCATTTGTAAAAAAATCCATGGAAATAAAACATTAAGTGTAAAATAGTGTTAAAAAGACATTTGGAACACCTTCCTAATATTGAGTTGCACCCCCCTTTACATTTACATGCCTTCAGAACAGCCTCAATTTGTTGGGGCATGGACTCTACAAGGTGTCAAAAGTGTTCCACAGGGATGCTGGCCCATGTTGACTTCAATGCTTCCCACAGTTGTGTCAAGTTGGTTGGATGTCCTTTGGGTGGTGGACCATTCTTGATACACACGGGAAACTGTTGAGCATGAAAAACCCAGCAGCGTTGCAGTTCTTGACACACTCAAACCGGTGCACCATACCCCATTCAAAGGCACTTTTAAATATTTTCTCTTGCCCGTTCACCCTCTGAATGGTAATGGTACACATACACAATCCATGTCTCAATTGTCTCAAGCCTTAAAAATCTATCTTTAACCTGTCACCTCCCCTTCATCAATAAGGGATCATAGCTTTCACCTGGATTCATCTGGTCAGTCTGTCATGGAAAGAGCAGGTGTTCCTAATGTTTTATACACTCAGTGTATCCTGATTAGATTATTATTCAACCCCCTGCCCTGAGTCAATACAGTACATGTCAAAATCACCTTTGGCAGGGATTACAGCTGTGAGTCTTTCTGGGTAAGTCTTTAAGAGCTTTCACACCTGAATTGTGTAACATTTGCCCATTTTTCTTTTAAAAAATCTTCATGTTCTGTCAAATTGGTTGTTGATCATTGCTAGACATCCATTTTCAGGTCTTGCCATAGATTTTCAAGTATATTTAAGTCAAAACTGTAACTCGGCCACTCAGGAACATTCACTGTCTTCTTGGTAAGCAACGCCACTGTAGATTTGGCGTTGTGTTTTAGGTTATTGTCCTGCTGAAAGGTGAATTCATCTCCCAGTGTCTGGTAGAAAGCAGACTGAACCAGTGCTTAGCTCCATTCCGTTTATTTTTTATCCTGAAAACCCCCCGTCCTTAACGATTACAAGCATACCCATAACATGATATAGCCACCACTATGCTTGAAAATATGGAGAGTGGTACTCAGTAATGTGTTGTATTGGATTTGCCCCAAACATAACACTTTGTATTCAGGACAAAAAGTTAATTACTTTGCCACATATTTTGCAGTATTACTTTAGTGCCTTGTTGCAAACATTATGCATGTTTTGGAATATTTTTTATTCTGTACAGGCTTCCTTTATTTCACTCTGTCAATTAGGTTAGTATTGTGGAGTAAGTACAATGTTGTTGATCCATCCTCAATTTTCTCCTATCACAGCCATTAAAGTCTGTAACTGTTTTAAAGTCACCATTGGCCTCATGGTGAAATCTCTGAGTGATTTCCTTCCTCTCCAGTAACTGAGTTAGGAAGGACGCCTGTATCTTTGTACTGGGTGTATTGATACACCATCCAAAGTGCAATTTATAACTTCACCATGCTCAAAGGGATATTCAATGTCTGCTTTTTTACTAATAGGTGCCCTTCTTTGCGAGGCATTGGAAAACCTCCCTGGTCTTTGTGGTTGAATCTGTGTTTGAAATTTGCTGCTCGACTGAGGGACGTTACAGATAATTGTATCTGTTAAACATTATTATTGCACACAGAGTGAGTCCATGCAACTTATGTGACTTGTTATGCACATTTTTACTCCTGAACTTATTTAGGCTTGCCATAACAAAGAGTTTGAATGCTTATTGACTGAAGACATTTAAGCTTTTCATTTTTAAAATGTTACCCCCTTTTTCAATCTTGTCTCATCGCTGCAACTCCTCAACAGGCTCGGGAGGCGAAGGTCGAGTCATGCATCCTCTGAAACATGACCCACCAAACCGCGGTTTTTAACACCCGCCCGCTTAACCCGGAAGCCAGCTGCACCAATGTGTCGGAGGAAACACCGTTCAACTGACAACCGAGCTCAGCCTGCAAGCGCCCGGCCCGCCACAAGGAGTCGCTAGAGCGCGATGAGCCAAATAAAGCGCCCCTGGCCAAACCCTCCCCAAACCCTCCCCCCACTACTGTAATGGTCCAGGTTACAAAGTGGCTCAGTGACTCGTGTTTGCATCTCAATGTGAAAAAAACTGTTTGCATGTTCTTCACAAAGAGGGCAACAGATGCTACTGAGCCAGAAGTCTATGTGTCAGGGGAGAAGCTCCAGGGGGTATCTGATTTTAAGTACCTTGGCATCATACTTGATTCCAACCTCTCTTTTAAAAAGCATGTGAAAAAGGTAATTCAAATAACCAAATTCAACCTAGCTAATTTCCGATTTATACGAAATTGTTTGACTACAGAGGTAGCAAAACTGTACTTCAAATCTATGATACTACCCCACTTAACATACTGCTTGACTAGTTGGGCCCAAGCTTGCTGTACAACAGTAAGACCTATTCAGTCTGTCTACAAACAGGCTCTCAAAGTGCTTGATAGGAAGCCCAATAGCCATCATCACTGTCACATCCTTAGAAAGCATGAGCTCCTGAGTTGGGAAAATCTTGTGCAATACACCGATGCATGTCTTGTATTCAAGATCCTAAATGGCTTGGCTCCCCCTCCACTCAGTATTTTTGTTAAACAGAAAACCCAAACATATGGCAGCAGATCCACAAGGTCTGCCATGAGAGGTGACTGTGTAGTTCCCCTAAGGAAAAGCACCTTTAGTAAATCCGCTTTTTCTGTGAGAGCTTCCCATGTCTGGAATACACTGCCATCAGACACACACAACTGCACCACATATCACACTTTCACAAAATGCTTGAAGACATGGCTAAAGGTCAATCAGATTTGTGAACATGGTCCCTAGCTGTGTGTTGCCGCTTTCCATGTCTGTTGTCTGTAACTTGTGAGGTGTGGAAACACTTTGTTGCTTTTATGAATTTTGTCTTGCTGCTTTTTGTTCTATGTTGCTCGGTCTGTATGCTACGTCTTGCTTGTCCTATGTTGCTATGTCTGTATGCTATGTCTTGTTCTATGTTGTTATTGTCTATATTGTAATTGTTTTTAATAACCTGCCCAGGGACTGCGGTTGAAAATTAGCCGGCTGGCTAAAACTGGCACTTTTACTGAAACGTTGATTAATGTGCACTGTCCCTGTAAAAATAAACTCAAACTCAAACTCAAACTCAAACCAGGACAACGCTGGGCCAATTGTGCGCCGCCCTATGGGACTCCCAATCATGGCCGGTTGTGATACAGCCTGGGATCGAACCCAGGTCTGTAGTGACGCCTCTAGCACTGTGATGCAATGCCTTAGACCGCTGCGCCACTTGGGAGGCCCTCAGCTTTTCATTTTTAATTCATATGTAAACATTTCGAAAAACATAATTCCACTTTGACATTATGGGGTATTGTCTGTAGGCCATTGACAATAAATCTCTATTTAATCTATTTTAAATTTGGCCAGTAACACAACAAAATTTTGAAAAAGTCAAGGGGTGTGGACACTTTCTGAAGGCACTGTATATTATATATATTAATATTGTATTGGTAGACTTCAAGTAATGTGTGTTGACTGAAACATATTGAATATGAAATACAGTATTTCATCTTCACCAGCTCATAATGGCATCAGTGTATTCCGTGTGGATATTGTTATCTCCAGATGTCAAGAAGAACCAAGTTCATCACACCAGCTCTTGAAAGCCTGACACAGGAATTCATCACTGATGTCATGGAAGATTTCTGTAGAGATGAGACAGAATGTACAGTATAGTCAATGAGCTTGCTTGTTTAGGTAATTACAAAACACATACTGTATGGAATATCTAGGAATGTTTTGAGACTGATATAAAAAGGCAGGCTGATGGTGTTCTTAAAGGAAAGATGTCCAGACCTGCACAGCCCAGTCCTTTGGGAAGAGGCATCCTCAGGGACCCTGCAGAGTGCTTCAGTCGTTCGCTCAGAGACTTCTGCACAAGGGCCAGAGTGCAGTCCTGGTGCCACACAGGCAACTCCAGCCCCAACATGCAGCGGCTGATCCGGGCCTTCTCCTCTCCCGTCAGGAGCCCTTTCTGGTGGGCCACGTACACCATGAAGGACATGTCAATGTTCACTGCCTCCCCGTGGAGCAGCGCAGGCAGCACTTTCTGCAATGGAGCATAAAGAGTTTAGTTCCAAAGGTAAAGTTATACTGTATTCACATTTGCCGAATTGTCTCTTCACTTGTCAAAAATGTATCTGATCATTCACACCTTCCCTGATGCCTTCCTCTCCATCCTTTTATATCCTCTCCATACACCTTTTTTATCGTTCACTAGTATCAATTCAGTGATCATATCTTTACCATTTCTAGCTCAGGGCTGACTAGATGGCCGAAGTCCACCAGTCTGTCCAGGTCATCCTCCCACAGATTGGGAGCCAACTCCTCTAGCATGGTTTCTATGGCAATCCGTGTGGACAAAGAGGCTGCATCCTCCAGGTCACAGCAGCCACTGAACTTGTCACGGGATTGGAAACTGGAGTCCAGCAGGTACCTGCCTTCAGTCTCCAGGAGCTCAAACAGGCCCCTGTGTTTCATCAGAGCCATCTAAAACACAACGGATGATGGCTGATTTATTAGCTCCATTCAGAGTTTGGAAGTAAGCCACTATCAATGGGGTGGTTTAGGCTCGTAAAAAGTGCTTAACTTTCTTCATTCATATTTGTAAATTAGTAATAGTGATTAGTAGAGTGTATTAGACATGTAATAGACAGCAAACAAATACAACCACACCTTGCTGTTAAGGGATGTTTGTCCAAAACAACTGTTGTCCAGATATGCCTCGAAATGCACAGCAACAGTCTCAGTCCTTTTAGAAAAGATGACATGCTCAGTTTGTAATGTGTTAGAGAGCTTTCACGTATTTAACCCACATGCATACTGTACCCATGCTGCGATGATGAGTACCTTTAACATTTCTGCCATTCCATTAGAAACCTGCCTGCGAGGAACAGTTCGGATGAAAGTCCGGTCTAAAAATGTTGCGACCGGGGGTATGTAACTCCCCAGCTTGTTCTTGCCATTGGCAAAGTTGACTCCAGTTTTGGCCCCCACACTGGCATCAATGTAGGAAAGCAGGGTTGTCGGGACACGGATATATGGGGTTCGTCTCCGGTAGAGAGAAGCAGCTAGGCCCACCACATCCAGACACACCCCTCCTCCAATAGCAATGAGGGGCTCAGAGCGCCTGTCTATCCCAAACTTGTGGACCTCCTCCAGAATCCTGGTCACGAGCTCCATGGACTTGTTCTCCTCTGTAGTGGGCAGTGGGAGGATCCTATAGAGAACATTTCTGGCCTCAAAATACCTGGTGACCTGGGAGCCATAGAGCTGATTGACTGTCTCATCGATGACAATGAAGCGTTTGATGGGCTTGGTTTTGCTTCTGAAGGCCTTGAGCTCTTCCTGGTCCTCTATATGACCACATAGCAGTGTGTCATTCCCAACATCCAGCAGGTTGTGGCATTGGATCACTCTGTAGGTGAACACAATAGGGCTGACCACTGTCCAGGAGAGGCCATGTTCTGAGGTTCTCTGGAAACTGCATGAGGAGCCAGCAGAAATGGTAAGTGATCACAACAACTGTCATAGTGGCAGGTTTGAATGGATTTATAAAGCTTTACTGTTTTCGTCTGGCTTGACTATACATACTAACCCTTGCTTTGATGTTGAATCCCTGTATACAAACATCCCCCACCAGGGAGGCCTAGAAGCTATGGCACACTATCTTAGTCAACAACCCACTGGCACACTCCCTAGCACTACCTGTATTGTTGAACTGGCTGAGATTGTTCTAAGAACTTTTTCATGTTTGAAAATTACATGTTCATTCAACAGAAGTGATCTGCCACGGCAGTAAAATGGCACCGAATTATGCCAATCTGTATGCTGGGTTGTTTGAGAAGAATATGATTTTCAGCCCTAACAATCCATTCTTGCGCCATATCAAGCTCTGGAAACGTTTCATTGATGACATTATTCCTTCCATTACAGGGTACAGCAGAGGAACTTCATCAATTCCACTCCATCAATATAAGCAGTGAATATCTAAAATTCACCCTCACATTTGATGCGCATTAAACAAGTTTCTGGACATTTTGATAAAGAGGGAGGTGGCTTTAGCACGGCCCTATACAGAAAGCCGACGGACAGGAATTCACTGTTACGCGGAGATAGCTGCACCCTACACCCCTGATAAAAAGCCTCCCTATCAGCTAATACAGTCGCATACGTAGGATCTGTAGTACACAGTGACTATGACAAACAAGCCGTCTGTCTGGATGAGCGTTTCAGACAACGGAATTATCCAGAGGAATGGCTGCATGACTCAAGGGACCGTTTCAAAGATATGACCCAGGATGACAGCCTCACGCCCAAACCACCCCGCCCCCCTGACCAACGAGTTCAATGCTTCCTTCAATACTCCCCACTTCGCAAACAGTTCGACCATATCATTAAAAAACACTGGCACATCTTGAGCACTGATTCACAACTGGAAAATACTTTTAAAGAACCCCCGCGGGTAGTCTTCTAACGCGCCCCAAACATCAGTGGTGGTGAAGTCTGATTTTCCACCCGTGCCACTTAGCACACTCCTAGACAATATGCCAGACGGTATTTACAGATGTGGCGGGTGTAGGCCTACTCAGTGTAACTTTACGAACAAATGCACAATGTTCAATCACCCTTTCACGGGCAAGGGCATTAAGATTAAGGGCATCATTACGTGTTCCACAAAAAAATGTGGTATACCTGATCAAATGTATTGGTGGTCTATGCTATGTAGGAAAAACTAAACGAGCTCTGAAAACAAGGAAAGCAGAACACAGGAGTAATATCAGGACTCCTGACCAGAGAAACCCGTGGCTGCGCATTTCATGGAGGCTCGTCACATCAGCTCTCTGAGATACATTGGTATCGAACATGTTAAGACTAACACGATGCGGTGAGATATCGACAATCTATTACTGAGAAGATAATTGTATTGGCTTTACAGTTTGTCCGCCATGTCTCCTAAAGCTCTGAACCAAAACACCGTTCTAAAATGCGCACCGCACATGCAAGCGGTTTCATTGACAGAGATGGAAATATCAGTTAGAAAGAGGGGGGATTTAAAGATGCAACAACTATCATGGGTTGCTAATATAATTACGATAATGTCTTTGGCTGCTAGACAATTAAAGAATGTTGAAATTAAACCAATAGAACAGGAGAACGCATAATAATAAGTAAGTATTTATCAAAATAATTCCATCCACGTTTCTATGGTTGGATTTTGGCTATAGGCTACTTTGAAGCAAGGTAAGACATGCCTCATATTATGAATTAAAACGTCCAGGTTTCAAACAATGAAGGAACAGGACAACTATAGTGATGCTAATGATAGGCCTAACCATCTTCTGGTAGATGGAAAGGCTTTCCCAAAAACCTTCTCTATTAAATGTTAACTAGCTACAAAGTAGCCTATGCCTACCTGTCAGAATGATATCATGATGATTATTTCCATCAATCCAGTGGCCATTTCTTTTGCAAACTCCATCTCATGTGCTACAGAAACACTGCTAATCAAACAATAGTGTAGCTCAATTGGTAGAGCATGGCGCTTGTAACGCCAGGGTAGTGGGTTCGATCCCCGGGACCACCCATGCGTAAAAATGTATGCACACATGACTGTAAGTCGCTTTGGATGAAAGCGTCTGCTAAATGGCATATTATTTTCCCCAGACCTCAAAAGTGGTCTCCTGATGTGGTTTAAGCATTGTTATGAACATAGAACATACCATTTTGTTGTTTTTCTGAAAAGAACGAAAACCTGGAAAAATAGGGGAAAATCTGAAACGTGAATTTCTGTCTCAATAGTAGGCCTACTATTAGCCTACTGCACAGCACAGCTTGGGGTGGCCTGACTGAAAGACCAATATGGGATCTATCATTTTAGATCATTCAGACCCTTACGAAAAAATATTGCAGTCAGAGTGCAGTATAACTGCAGTATGCTGTAGTATAACTGTAGTTAGAGTGCAGTATATCTGCAGTATGCTGCAAATACTGCATCCAAAATAACACTGTTTTTTTACTGCAGTAATTTTGCAGTGTAACTGATGTACACTGCAGTTATTCTGCAGTTACTGCGTCCAAAATACCACAGTCCACTGCAGTTACTGCACTTTTACTGCAGATTCAAAACTGCAATCTTTCTTTGTAAGGGGAGTGTATGTCACTGTTTCCAGCTACAATAGCCATTTACAACATTAACAATGTCTACACTGTATTTCTGATCAATTTGATGTTATTTTAATGGGCAAAAAAAATGCTTTTCTTTCGAAAACAAGGACATTTCTAAGTGACCCCAAACTTTTGAACGGTAGTGTATGTATACATTATATTTTCTGTAACTTCTACATGTACCAATCTCATTTATATCAAATTATTAGAGGTACATAAGTTGTTTTTTAAATAGGTCTGTAATTATATCTACGGCCACCGTGCGCCCTGCGCGTTATGGTCATATGGGCGGGTATTCCAACAGTTTCCAACATAATCTTTTTTTTTTTTACTGTTGCCTAGGTTTTAACTTGGACCGATTTGTATGTACAGTACCTGTCAAAAGTTTGGACACACCTACTCATTCAAGGGCTTTTTTTTATTTTTACTATTTTCTACATTGTACAATAATGGTGAAGACATCAAAACTATGAAATAACACATGGAATGATGTAGTAACCAAAAAAGTGTTAAACAAATCAAAATATATTTTATATTTGAGATTCTTCAAATAGCCACCCTTTGCCTTGATGACAGCTTTGCACACTCTTGGCATTCTCTCAACCAGCTTCACCTGGAATGCTTTTCCAACAGTCTTGAAGGAGTTCCCACATATGCTGAGCACTTGTTGGCTGCTTTCCCTTCACTCTGCCGTCCGACTCATCCCAAACCATCTCAATTGGGTTGAGGTCGGGTGATTGTGGAGGCCAGGTCATCTGATGCAGCACACCATCACTCTCCTTCTTGGTAAAATAGCCCTTACACAGCCTGGAGGTGTGTTGGGTCATTGTCCTATTGAAAAACAAATGATAGTCCCACTAAGCCCAAACCAGATGGGATGGCGTATCGCTGCAGAATGCTGTGGTAGCCATGCTGGTTAAGTGTGCCTTGAATTCTAAATAAATCACAGACATTGTCACCAGCAAAGCACCCCCACACCATAACACCTCCTCCTCCATGCTTTACGGTGGGCACTACACAGGTGGAGATCATCCGTTCACCCACACCGCGTCTCACGAAGACACGGCGGTTGGAACCAAAAATCTCAAATTTGGACTCCAGACCAAAGGACACATTTCCACTGGTCTAATGTCCATTGCTCGTGTTTCTTGGCCTAAGCAGGTCTCTTCTTCTTATTGGTGTCCTTTAGTAGTGGTTTATTTGCAGCAATTTGACGGTGAAGGCCTGATTCACACAGTCCCCTCTGAACAGTTGATGTTGAGATGTGTCTGTGACTTGAACTCAATTTGGGCTGTGATTTCTGAGGCTGATAACTCTAATGAATGTATCCTCTGCAGCAGAGGTAATTCTGGGTCTTCCATTCCAGTCGTGGTCCTCATGACAGACAGTTTCATTACATTTACATTTTACATTTTAGTCATTTAGCAGACGCTCTTATCCAGAGCAACTTACAGTTAGTGAGTGCATACATAATTTTTTCATACCGGCCCCCCCGTGGGAATCGAACCCACAACCCTGGCGTTGCAAACGCCATGCTCTACCAACTGAGCTACATCCCTACCATCATAGCGCTTGATGGTTTTTGCGACTGCACTTGAAGAAACGTTCACATTTCTTGACATTTTCCGTATTGACTGTCTTAAAGTAATGATGGACGCTCGTTTCTCTTTGCTTATTTGAGCTGTTCTTGCCATAATATGGACTTGGTCTTTTACCAAATAGGGCTAACTTCTGTATACCCCCCTACCTTGTAACAACACAACTGATTGGCTCAAATGCATTAAGAAGGAAAGACATTCCAGAAATTATGTTTTAAGAAGGCACACCTGTTAATTGAAATGCATTCCAGGTGACTACCTCATGAAGCTGGTTGAGAGAATGCCAATAGTGTGCAAAGCTGTCATCAAGGCAAAGGGTGGCTATTTGAAGAATCTCAAATATAAAATATATTTTGATTTGTTTAACACTTTTTAGTTACTACATGATTCCATATCTGTTATTTCATAGTTTTGATGTCTTCACTATTATTCTACATTGTAGAACATAGTAAAAAGAAAGAAAAACCCTTGAATGAGTAGGTGTGTCCAAACTTTTGACTGGTAGTGTATATAATAATTTATGTCTATATGTACCTCTGTGATTATGATTGACTATGCGCAAAAGTGAATTGAATTGTTTCCACACCCACCATGGTCATGTGAGGTGAAATGTGTATATTTTGGGATGTGAGCACTGTCTGTTTGACCTGACGAAGATGGTTGTTAATAAAGCAGTGAATTGGGGGCATAAACAGTGTGCGGGCCTTCCTGTTCTTTACAAGTATTCTTTATTAGCCCAGCACCTAAGTTAATGATGTGCGTATGACCACTAACCTTTCTATAAATACACACTTAACATCTAACATTTTTAATACACACAATATTATGACAATTACACTGTCAACAAGAACAATGGCTCCCAGTAGGCTAGTTGGGATGCAAAGTAAAGGTGTACAGATAAAATTACAAACTGTTAAACAACTTTTCCACTGGTGGTCTACTCTACACTGACGGTTAAACAAGCTGAAATGTCAGCTGTGCCCAAAATAGAAAGATATCCCGTGTCTTCCAGTTCACCGAGCCATTTATGAAAAGGACTGCTGACTCACATTGAGTCAACAAATATGAAACATCTTCCCTGTTCTAAAATAATATATATAGTTAAAATAAACATTAATCAAAAGTAACTCATTTGATTCCTAGGATTTGGAACCAGAAGTATACTCCCCCCTTTTTTTTTACACTGCCATTCAGCAAGGTGATCTGTCATGCTTATGAGATGTGCTAAATCTTTCCACAAGAAAAATACAAAATGTAAATGCAAAGTATAACCTACTCACATTTTAGCAGCTGATAACCGTCCCTCCTTCTGAGACTGTCCACCAGTCTGTCTGTTCCATGCCCCGTTCACTTGCAGCAGGCTGTACTCTGTTTGTTGGCTCGTGTCGCTATCAGAGTTTTCATGTGATTGCATGACCTGAGTATTTACTGAGTGGTATATAGTTGGCTCTGTCATTTTGGAAGGATATGCAGTGCGTCTCAATTCTCTACCTTTCTCCTGTAGTGTGCACTCGGTCACTCCTCCCCTTGTAACTTGGGGGGTGGGAATGAAACCAAATATAGTCATCAATATTGTTGGCTGTTTATGTGAGAGGTTTAAGGCTAAAAAATCAATCATAAGAGAAGCAGGTGTTTTTAGGAACAATGTGTTTATTTCTGTTCATGGTTACAGAACTGAAGTGTTTGCGGAATGGAGCGTTTTGGTGGTTAATATTGAATGGGGCTCAATAGGGGGATCATTATTAAGCACTCTATACCTCAGTTTAACACTGTCTTTAGACATACTGTCCATCTTTGTAAACATATTCATGTTCCCTCTGAAACTAAGAAATGGGACAATTCTAGTTAATGATATTATGATAGAACAAACATTGACATGGTGCACTTTTAGTCCTTTTAGGCCTTCATATCAAATGGAGTAATTTGATTGAGGTGATCTTTTCATCGGTAGCAGACTTCAGAGATCTCCATGGCGAGTTCCAGTAACTCGGCTCCCTCTTGACAGGAGTTGCAGCAGCTGCAGTCCAGTTCTACGTTGCAGTTACACCAGCCACTGCCCCGCTCCTGCTCCCTGGACGCATTTAGGTATTTGAACGAGGGGAAACAGCGGCTCACAGCTCTCTCACATGTGTCTGGCACCATGACTACAATGTCATAGAACTGGCAGTAGAGGCAGGCCAGCAGAATGGCAGCACAGTCATCTGGGGACAGGGAGAGAAATATTAAATCAGTGAAAAAGTTGCATTTGACCTCACACTAGACTAGGGGAAGGCTGCAGATGTAAGTACTAGTAGAGCCCAAATGTTTTATGACTATACAGATGATACTGCATTATCAACAATGGTTGTTCTTTTTCTGGATTTTCAACTTGTCAGACTTTAAATCGTTACGATAATGGAATTACACTAGACAAAATTCACCATTGAAGCTTAATTTTCAGAGAGGAGGAAAAACAATACCCCCAGCGTCAGGCTGATGGGATTCGAAGGAGGAGAAGCGGTTGCTACTGTTGTTAATGGGCTTGTTGGAACACAGTGAGAAACTGGATCCGCCCCACTCACTGCCTCCCATGGGATCCTGAGAGCTGAGGTCTGTATCCACTTTGTCTGGGTCGTGCTCTGAGATGGTGCTCAACCTCCGCACTCCACTCACCACAACCTTGTTGCTGCTCATCACCCCAGAATTTGTGGGCTGAGACACGTCTCCTTTAAATACAGTACAGTACATAAAGTCAATACCTCATCCTCTTAGCTCCAAAAACCTTAGGTCACTCTGAAGTTAGGGGACTTATAGACCTGAGCAACCAGGTGAGTAACCATGTTAAGTGAATCTATTTGGCTACTGTAGGCCAATATTGTAGGTCCGGATATGTATCTGTAACACCCCAGCATGTGTGCTCATCAGCAGAGATACTTGGTCACATTATCAAAACATTTCTGTTTGTTAATTATTCAACATGTCTCTGAGAGGCGAGACTCACAAAGCAGGGTGTGTATACAGGCTGAAAGTCCCATAAAGTTTAATGAGGGGAAACTATTGATTTTTAGCATTTATTGGGATCCACTTTCCTCCCTTGAACATGACCATAAGAGAATTCACAGATAAACCTTTAAAGAATACAAGTCTGCAGCAGTCAAGGTAGAATGGGACCACATTTTCTTAGCTTTAGCACTCTTGCAATGGGGATATACACTGAGTATACAAACATTAGGAACACCTTCCTAATATTGAGTTGCACCCCTTTTGCTCTCAGAACAGCCTCAATTCGTTGGGGCATGGACTCTACAAGGTGTCGAAAGCGTTCCACAGGGATGCTGGCCCATGTTGACTTCAATGCTTCCCACAGTTGTGTCAAGTTGGTTGGATGTCCTTTGGGTGGTGGACCATTCTTGATACACACGGGAAACTGTTGAGCATGAAAACCCCAGCAGCGTTGCAGTTCTTGACACACTCAAACCAGTGCACCATACCCCATTCAAAGGCACTTTTAAATATTTTATCTTGCCCGTTCACCCTCTGAATGGTAATGGTACACATACACAATCCATGTCTCAATTGTCTCAAGGCTTAAAAATCTATCTTTAACCTGTCTCCTCCCCTTCATCTACACTGATTGAAGTGGATTTAACAACTGACATCAATAAGGGATCATAGCTTTCACCTGGATTTACCTGGTCAATCTATGTCATGGAAAGAGCAGGTGTTCCTAATGTTTGATACACTCAGTGTATTCCACTCTATGATACCTGGCACTACCATTACCCAGCAAATACAAAGATGACCCTCACCAGACAAATAGATCTTTACGAACTCTGCTCTTTTTCTATACTCAAGCTTTCACAAATAGATTAGTCAGCCCATAAACAAACACAACTGTTGAAACTACTTACCCTCCAGCAAAGGACTCTGGTCGCTCCCTGTCTTGACATGATCTGGTTCATTTGTAGAGGTCCTTGGTTGTGTGGTCATCTGAAGATTTGAATAACATTACCACATGCCTATGCAACCTAATGATATAACCTATACGCCTAAATAATATTTGCTAATCATATTCCATTCCTTACACGTATGCATAATACTGGTAAGATAATACTTATTCTAAATTATAAACTTTACCTGAAACAAAACTTCTGGAAGGCCGACAGAAACTGTATTGTTTGTTCACAAATGGAAAGAACCATCCAACACTTGTAAAGCCTCTGGACCTTCCTGTGTGGTTGAAGCACAGCTTGGATCTCAGTGCTCTGTAAACTTGCAGGACAAGACACACCCCATATTGATCCGGGCCATAGCCAATCAGGCAGCTCAAAAACATTTGACATGATGATCTTTGGTCAAGTATAATCATATTTTATCACTCCGACAACCTGGCTAGTCAGCCAGATAGCCTCATACCATGATAGCCTACATAGATGCCATTATAGGATATTCATCTCTGTGCAGTGTGTACACATACAGGCTGGTTGATGATGTGGTCTGAACTGAATGAGGCGAGCATTTACAGTATTTCAATTATAAAAAATATTTAGCTCCAGATATATAGCAAAGGGCATGTGTATATAGATTTTGCGTAGGCCTGTCTCACACTTGAATCTTCTCTTTGTGACAGACCGGGTTCAAACGGCTTCAGACTCATTTTTCTGGTTGGATCTGTATTTTTAATGCTCTAGGGTTATTATTGCTTGGATAACCTTATTTACTATTATGTATTGATTCAGTTTTCTTTATGCGGTGCACACTGCACAGAACACCGGAATAACTATCACTGAACTATCATTGTGAATTATTGTAACGTTTGTGTGTCAATTAATCCGGTAAGGGATGGGTTGACAACTAGCGATTTGACACAATAATAAAATGTTCATTCATTTATACAGTAGATGCTTCTCCTGCCAAACAGAGTTGGCTTATTCTTCACATTGCCTGCCATCCATTAGATATACACATTGACCACTGAAATATGGCCGTTACCACACTGTTAAATCAAACTCAGGTCATAACTCAAACCTGCACATAAACACAATGATGATGAATGCTACATTTACATTTACGTCATTTAGCAGACACTCTTATCCAGAGCGACTTACAAATTCTGCTACAACCTATACATTCACCACACACACTTTATATACAGAATTTATTACAGACAGCTTTTAGTGCACAACTCTGGCAATGTACAATACAATGCTAAATAAGGCCAAAAAGCTATGTTTGGGATAGTGGGGAAAAAATACGATTAGTAGGCTACACAAATAATTATATCCCAACAGAGAAGGTTATACATAAATCATATTTTTGGCAGTGTAAAAGTAACCAATTATCAATGATATCATGTCACAAATGGAACAGAGGATTACTATCTGGTGGTTGTCTGGTACTCACATAGGTAAAAATAAACAAGTTTGTGGGAGAAAAACATTATTCTTCATGAAGTGCTGTCCATAAATATTACCAATGCTCTGGTTATTAATATACACATATTCATGAAAGAGTGAAACAAAAGACATCGAAGAAAGAAAAAACTCTGCATCACTGAACCAGCTCCCCATAGGGCTTCATCATTGGTTGTACAGCCTCACAATAAGCCAATCCGAATACATTATTTGAGGACAAGCGGTGTTACAATAATTCCTCTATTGGTTCTGTTGTCTTCAATGTGAGCTCGGTTGGATAATACCCAGTACAAACGATGCCAGTAAAACAGAGCACCAAATATCCCCAATAAATAAAATAGTCAATTAATTCCTCCAGAGAAAATTGTTGTGTGTTTCCACTTGATATGAAGCAGTTCTACAAGTCATTTGGTATATTTCATAGTTGTTCAATGTGGGAGTCTTGCAGTTGAGATTGACAGGTTGGAATACAGTCTCTCTTTCACTGCGAAGGCACATGAGCCAGCTGCAGGTTGGGTCTCTCTGGGCTCCCGCCATCTTCATCTTGGTCCACATCTGAGCTGTGCTCATCAGAGCTCTCAGTCTCAGAACAGTCATGGGGCACATTCTCATACGCTTCCTCGTCCATTAGCTCTTCTTTTACGCTGAGAAAAAAAGTCATGATGAGGAAAAAAGGTACTTATAATGACTTCTGAAACTGAGAACCATTTCTCCATTACCAGATCTAGTTTTTAAATGGTGATGAAACACTCACAGAGGGTGCATAGGGTACTGTTCTTCACTGCTGTCACTGTAGGATCCATTCCCATACCAGAGAGCTGCATTCATCTCCTCCTGCTGGAACATATAGGGCAGAGAGCTCAGAGAGGGAGCGCCTATGGAAGCTGGGTTGAATGGAGGTATACTACTGTTTAGCCATTCAGCCTGAAAAGACACACGCCATTGATTTATAGCATAATGACAAAAATAAAGGTTTAGCACTCAATTCAAGTAGTCTGAAGAGTATTGCGTGTACTTACCTTAGGAGTAAGGAAAGCGGAGCTGTGACCATGGCCAGTGTTCTCTCTCTTGAGAGATCTGCAGTTACACATAAACACATTATTCAATTTAACAAACACACCAACTGGGAAATAGAGGAAAAACATAATATCCTCACAAGACATTTTATATTAATTACATGGTTTCTATAAGTATAATACCAACAGAAATGCAGGTTTAACATGTTAAGAAACAGAGACATACAGGGAGCTATACTGTAGAGACCAAGCATGTTAAACTTACCCTTCACCAGCAGGCTTCTGGGGCCTTCTTCTTTGGAACTCCATCTCATCAACTGTCCACACAGCTCCTTTTACATTCTCCACTCGCACAAAACACTTGTGGAGGCTGAGGTTGTGTCTCACTGCATTCTGCAGAGTCAGGAAGAAGAACATACAGTATTAACACCACATACAGCTTCAAGGTAAGGACAAGAACATTATTCCATAAAAGGTGTTCTAATACCATTGAACATTTCTAAAGATTCATGAATATGGCATACAGTGGAGGCTGCTGAGGGGAGGACGGCTCATAATAATGGCTAGAATGGAGTCAATGGAGTGGTATCAACCACATCTTTGATGTGTTGGATACCATTTCATTGACTCCATTCCAGCCATTATGAGTCGTCCTCCCTTCAGCAGCGTCCACTGATGGCATAGCAACTAAACATAGCACAACGATATTCATATACATGTAAATAACCCCTTAAATGGACATAGCCAAATACCTTCCATGTTGCTGCATTGCGTCTGAAATATGCAAATGTTCGTGTGAACCAATTGTAGATTTCATTTAGTGTCAGCTGCTTATAGGGTGATTCAAATATCGCCTGAATAATACAAACACAAAGAAATACAATTAGCAAATGATAGACATCACTACTTACGGTATTTGAGGAACAAAACAACTGGTATAGCTAACATTTAGTCAGAGGGTAAACCAGGGTGAAATAAAATACATGTATTCCTTACCTGTCTTATTAGGGCTGCATATGTAAATGGTGGTCTAACTTCCGTACTGACGTAGAACTCTTTATTCTGAACAATATCTGTTAAAACATATTTTTATCAAATAGATAAACCATCACAGGCATAACAGTAGTTCATAGAATATGTACCCCACCACCCTCATTAGATTCAGCATCACACTGCTAACTCACCTTGATTCATGTTCTTGCTGTACTTGTCTGAGTACCGTCTCCTCCCAGGGCTCACAGTGAGCAGGGTGTTGGGAGTGATGATAGAGGTCGTCGGCGGAGGGGTCAGGGGTGTGGAAGGAGCAGTGGCACTTTGAGACAAGCTCATGGGAGGAAGCACCTTGGGAAACATCACCTGGGAGAAGGCAACGTTAGGCACAAGATTCACCTGAAAAATCAAATGTAACGATTAATTTAAACGCAGTACAGAGAACACAGCTGTAGGGAATGCAATATTGGAAGTGATTATTCTACCATTATGGCTAACACTTGGACTGTTGGTAACCTGATTTGAATTAAAGACATGGCCACTAATACTCCAGAGACTTACCGTTGGTGTTGCTGGTTTTGACATTTGCTCAGAGGATTTGAGGTGAGACATCATGGCTTGCAGACGCTCTCTGTCTTTTTTCAACTGCATTGAGGAGAAGATAAAAAAACAAAGATGTAATGTCGTCGATACTGTACAATGAATGGACATTATTTAAACAAACGTCTACTATACCTGAAGTTCTAGCTGCTGAACAACCTGCATCTGCACTCGACACTGTGCTGTACTCTTGTCATCCAGTGTATGTTCACTGTTCAGATGTCTGGGAGAAAAACACACTCCCATGATAAGTCAAGAAAACACTCAAGAAGCCACTACAACACAGTGTTGTTATTACATTAAGAGAGATGGACCTTCATTTGGCTCTCTGAGAAAATTAATAGATGAGGAGAAACTCACTTGAGAAAAGCCTGAAAGTCTCCAAAGACCGCCTCACAGCCAGACCATTTGCACATGCCGTGTCCATAGAGAGGGTGAGTGTTTTGTGTGTGATCATCCACAGGACCTCTGCAGAGAGACACATCATCAATGTTACACTTCAGGAAGAGGTTGGTCAGATGATAATGAATAAACACTGTTCTAGAACGACTAATCACCTGTCTTTCTTCTTTAGGGGCTGTGATTTATGATTCCCATTAGTGGTGGACTGCTGGCTGTGGAGCAGGTTCTTCTGAAAAGTGGCTGGATACTCACCACCAGAGGGCAGGCTTGCGCTATTCTCACACCCTTTCACTAAACCTAGGAGAAATACACAAGTACATATCATCTTAATTAATTCAGCCGAATAAATAAAATATGTTAGCCCAACAACAACAACAACAACAAGTATAGCTGCAAGCAGCCATGGTGGAGGAGAACAACAACAAGCTAAGAATAGATGAATGGTAGGGGCTGGGTGGTAGACACTTACCCTGAGCTGCAGAGGGGCTCATGGAGGGCAGGACAGACAGGAGACCCTGTCTCTGGAGGCTGAGGAGGTGCTGCTGTTGGACCTGCAAGAGCTGCTGCTGGATGGCCATGTGCTGGGCCGTTAGCTGCTGTGATAGGGGGGGGGGGGGGGATCGATAGTTACATATTGAGATATCGTTTGACAATATATCGTATCGTTGACAATATCGCAACATTTGGTTGAAGGCAAAATACAGACATATGACAGAAAATATATAGGCCGGCCTACCTCTTGCCCTGACTTCTCAGCATGCTTCTGCTGTAGGAGCTGGGCGTTGAACTGGTCCTGCTGTTTCTTGCAGAGATCCTGTATGTGTTGCTGTAGAAGAAATGTTGAGTTAATGGAAGGTCATGAGGAAATTCAGCTCTCACTTTCAAGCCATCAGCATCTTACTAAGATCCTCATGTAAAATAAATAGGTGACAATACAGAGAAACAAACTAAAAAGTGCTGCTGATAATATTACAATTTTAAAAATACACAATAAAGCATATACATGTAGATTGAGACAGTGTGGTGATTATGTGATTACCTGGTGTAACATGAGTGCTTTCTGCTGCTGGAGCAGGGCCTGGATCTGCTGTGGATTGAGGACCTGCTGCAGTGTCTGCTGAGGAGTCTCCACCGGAGGTGTCATCATAGACACTGAGACTGGAACCTGCCAACAACACAAGTTGAGCACAGATTAGACCTAGGCTAGCCTGAAAATAACAGAAAAACAATGCCAACAACACCATTAAAAAGTGTTTTTTTGGAAGAACAAACAGCCTCTGCCAGGCATCCAGCAATTACCACCCCCTCTCCCTCTCTGCCCTACACTCACAGCTCTGGGGATGTTTACAGTAAACATAAACAGAATAATTAAAGCTGAATAGATATATAAATAATGAATACAAAGCCAGGGATGCAGGGCAAGTTTTGCAAAAACAGAACTCTGCATTGCATTTTAATTAAGGTCTGAACCACAAACAAACATGTTCCAACTAAGACTGGCTCTGTTTGAGATCCAGTAAACAACCTGCTGGAGGATGTCACAGAGGGTCTAGGCTAACAATAACAGTGGATGGATTGCTGTGGAGAACGCCCTTTCCCACACTGACTAAACGTGCTCTGGCACAGGTGCTCAGTGCTCATTAAGGTCCTTATAGACCTATACTATATATTAGACCTATGGCTTTACATGACTTAAAGCAGAAGGTAAAATAATTGCATCAGCTGGATTTGAACCTAAACGTCTGCATTACAGAAATAAACCTTTAGAGAGCCAGATAGTGCCTGTTAGTTGCTGTATATATGGTATGGGAATGGGCCATCTTTTGTATGCACAACATCAACAAAACAAAACCCTGCGCCTAGCCTAATCCTTGTTTCCATGACGGCAGGGCAGACAAGTCCAAACATCTTTTGTTATTGTCGATGACAAACATCTTTTGTTATTGTTATTGTCGATGATAGAAACCCACATACCCATGAAGGACAGTGTAAACACTGGGCTAGTCCTCATATTGAAGTCTGTGTTCTAAGACTAATGTTGCCAATGACAAGATACATGCCTTTCTGAAACCCTGAAAATATGATCATACTTTTCATATAACAGACCATTATACTTAATCTCTCTCTAAACTGAGATGTAACAACCTGATGTAACCAAAGGCAACAGACAACACACCCAAACCCCAACCACTAACGGAGAAATTTAATATAAACTACAACACCAGAGTAGGGAAAATGCTTGAAAGAGGCAATAAAGAGCCAAGGAAATGTTCATATGATTGAAGTAAATTACCTCAGATTATTTGGCACAATTACATTATAAATATGTTAGGTCACTGAGTAGTGACATGCACAATCATTCTGACTAACAAAGTCACAATTACTAGCTAGGTCAATAGTTTGCACAGATATAAGTGACGAACAGTATTGCATTTTAACATTTAACATAGCCCTTTCCATCAAGCAAATTCAACCAATGTACATACCAGTAAACAAAGAAACAAGTATTTCCTATCTAAATATAGAAATAGGCCAGTTGCTGAAATGACAATAATCAAGTTGACAAACCTGATCAACTCCATTTACAGTGGTTGTCTTTGGCAGTTAGAGAGACGCAGGTTGGAAAGAGACCGAGAGCAGTAAGCTGTACACAACGTTAGGCTGTCTGGCAGTCTGACAGAGTGCTTGTGTGCATAAACAAAACTAACCAATATCACAGATCCCTCCTCCTTCATCACAAAGTGCCTATGCAGTCTCTGTCTACACTGCTGTTGGCTCAGAGCTCAGTTTACTAGCCTACCCACCATACAAACAAAGACATATGCTAAATGTGCCAATTTGAGAACACACATGCTTTAGTCGTGGAAAGTAAGCATGTGCCACACTTTATAAAATAAGTTTGGTAACCTGGTTTTGCTGCTGGCTGTCAGCCCCGGAACCCTCTGGAGTTGGAGTCTGAGTGCTCAGCCAATCGTCCTTTTCAGCACTGTCCCCATTCTCGGTCTGATTGGCTGGACTGGTGCAGGTTGTCTGCTCTGACCCAGACTCATGCATCTGGACTCACTGACCTGAGAAAAGAACAAGAACAAGAGAGCTCTAAAATCAGAATCTGGATATAGGATGAAAAATGGGCTACTTCATGTAAATTCACAATGTCTCTCCACAATACTGATTTTAGGCTACATTTATTTTGAACAATTCCATATGCACATGGTGCACTTTCTTACTGATCTTATCCAAGAAACATATTCACTACGGTTGCAGATCAGCAAGGAAAGACAAGGTTACAAGACAACGGTTTCCCTCTTGCCAAGATAAACCGTCTACCCTACCGGAAGGAGTAGGAGATATTTGTTAAGTAGCTCATTGCTGCCATGGCTACGGTAAATAAAGGGGCCCTGGGTTGGTGTTTATGAGCAAACACATTGTCCTTCTGGAGCAATTTAACATTATCCAGAAGGTGAGATAAACAGATCTGGCAGGTAGCACAATACTGCATTAAAGGGAGGGCCATGTGTATACAGCTGGGGGAGCGATCGACTCAAAAGCAACACAGCGAACGTATACACCAACAGACAATCTGAAGACAAACAAGCTCTTTGAACTGGGAAGATTCAAATGTCCACAACTGCTAGAAACTGAGATAAACTAGCTGAATATGTAGGCCTATCTACATACACTACATTACCAAAAGTATGTGGACACCTGCTTGTCGAACATTTCATTCCAAAATCATGGGCATTAATATGGAGTTGGTCCCCCCTTTGCTGCTATGACAGCCTCCACTCTTCTGTCAAGGCTTTCCACTAGATGTTGGTACATTGATGCGGGGACTTGCTTCCATTCAGCCACAAGAGCATTAGTGAGGTCGGGCACTGATGTTGGGCGATCAGGCCTGGCTCGCAGTTCCAATTCAACCCAAAAAGTGTTCGATGGTGTCGAGGTCAGGGCTCTGTGCAGGCCAGTTAAGTTCTTCCACACCGATCTCGACAAACCATTTCTGTATGGACCTCGCTTTGGGCACGGGGGCATTGTCATGCTGAAACAGGAAAGGGCCTTCCCCAAACTGTTGCCACAAAGTTGGAAGCACAGAATCGTCTAGAATTTAATTGTATGCTGTAGCGTTATGATTTCCCTTCACTGGAACTAAGGGGCCTAGCCCAAACCATGAAAAACAGCCCCAGACCATTATTCCTCCTCCACCAAACTTTACAGTTGGCACTATGCATTGGGGCAGGTAGCGTTCTCCTGGCATCTGCCAAAAACAGACTTGTCCGTCGGATTGCCAGATGGTGAAGCGTGATTTATCACTCCAGGGAACGCGTTTCCACTGCTCCAGAGTCCAATGGCGGCGAGCTTTACACCACTCCAGCTGACGCTTGGCATTGCGCATGGTGATCTTAGGCTTTTGTGCGGCTGCTCGGCCATGGAAACCCATTTCATGAAGCTCCCAACAAACAGTTATTGTGCTGACGTTGCTTCCAGAGGTAGCTTGGAACTCAGTGCCACGAGGACAGATAATTTTTACGCGCTATGCGCTTCAGCACTATGCGGTCCCGTTCTGTGAGCTTGTGTGGCCTACCACTTTGCGGCCGAGCCGTTGTTGCTCCTAGAGATTTCCACTTCACAATAACAGCACTTACAGTTGACCGGGGTGGCTCTAGCATGGCAGAAATTTGACAAACTGACTTGTTGGATAGGTGGCATCCTATGACGGTGGCACGTTGAAAGTCACTGAGCTCTTCAGTAAGGCTATTCTACTGTCAATGTTTGTCTATGGGGATTGCATGGCTGTGTGCTCGATTTTATACACCTGTCAGCAACGGGTGTTACTGAAATAGCCGATTCCACTAATTTGAAGGGGTGTCCACATACTTTTGTATATATAGTGTACTTCTGAAGAAAGCTGAAACATAGGCTAGCCTACTGTAAGCCTATCATAGTTCTGTAATACAGATTTATGAGAGAAAGAAAACACATTAGCTATTCAAATGTCAAATTATAACAATCACAAATGAGAGATTGGGTTCTAGCCAAAATATCCAACCAACTAATCTGCACGTCTTTACAATACACTATCCTTACCTTGGCAGAAAATACACAGCGTTGTGGGTGATCAGCTGAGTTCAAAGCAGTAGCGTAAGATGTGTTTGTGTAGCCTATGTGGACTGTGCACACATGAACAAGTGCTGTGTTTTAACATGCAGGAGTACGCCTGTTTGCATAAACACAAACACTCTGCAGATAGAACAAGGGCAAACCATATACACAAGGAATAACTACATTCTGTTAATGTTAATGAATGCAAATTGCATTGCCTAATGTTCAGCTCGTCGCTACTTTTTGGGGATGAACATTTCCCCCATGGATTTTTCGTTTGGGAGTCTTCACTTTTTAAAATGAAAACTATCATTCAGAGTCACAAAACAACAGGCGTTATGTGACCACACCAAAACATTAGGCCAGGGTTTCCCAACTGGCGGCCAATTTGACCCGCAGGTACATCTCTGGGGCCAAGCTTCCTGCCATCCAGGACGTCTATACCAGGCGGTGTCAGAGGAAGGCCCTCAAAATTGTCAAAGACTCCAGCCACCCTAGTCATAGACTGTTCTCTCTGCTACCGCACGGCAAGCGGTACCGGAGTGCCAAGTCTAGGTCCAAAAGACTTCTCAACAGCTTCTACCCCCAAGCCATAAGACTCCTGCACAGCTAATCATGGCTACCCGGACTATTTGCATTGCCCCCCCACCCCATCTTTTTACGCTGCTGCTACTCTGCTAATTATTTATGCATAGTCACTTTAACTCTACCCACATGTACATATTATTTCAACTACCTCAACTAGCTGGTGCCCCCGCACATTGACTCTGCACCGGTACCCCCCTGTATATATAGCCTCCCTACTGTTATTTTACTTCTGCTCTTTTTTTCTCAACACTTTTTTGTTGTTGTTTTATTTTACTTTTTTATTAAAAATAAATGCACTGTTGGTTAAGGGCTGTAAGTAATCATTTCACTGTAATGTCTGCACCTGTTGTATTCGGTGCATGTGGCCAATAAAATTTTATTTTATTTTATTTGGCCAGCCAAGTCTTTTGCAACAACAAAATATACAGTATCTGTCAAAAGTTTGGACACACCTACTCATTCCAGGGGCTTTCTTTATTTTTACTATTTTCTAGGTTGTAGAATAATAGTGAAGACATCAAAACTATGAAATAACACATATGGAATCATGTAGTAACCAAAAAAGTGTTAAACAAATCCAAATATATTTTAGATTCTTCAAAGTAGCCACTCTTGGCATTCTCTCAACCAGCTTCACCTGAAATGCTTATCTTGAAGGAGTCACACATATGCTGAGCACTTGTTGGCTGCTTTTCCTTCACTCTGCGGTCCAACTCATCCCAAACCATCTCAATTGGGTTGAGGTTGGGTGATTGATTGTGGAGGCCAGATCATCTGATGCAGCACCCCATCACTCTCCTTCTTTGTCAAATTGCCCTTACACAGCCTGGAGGTTTGTTGTGTCATTGTCCTGTTGAAAAACAAATGATAGTCCCACTAAACCCAAAAAAGAGGACTGAGCACGCCCCCATTCTCATCGACGGGGCTGTAGTGGAACAGGTTGAGAGCTTCAAGTTCCTTGGTGTCCACATCACCAACGAACTATCATGGTCCAAACACACCAAGACAGTCGTGAAGAGGGCACGACAAAGCCTATTCCCCCTCAGGAGACTAAAAAGATTTGGCATGGGTCCTCAGATCCTCAAAAAATTCTACAGCTGCACCATCGAGAGCATCCTGACTGGTTGCATCACCGCCTGGTATGGCAACTGCTTGGCCTCTGACCGCAAGGCACTACAGAGGGTAGTGCGTACGGCCCAGTACATCACTGGGGCAAAGCTCCCTGCCATCCAGGACCTCTATACCAGGCGGTGTCAGAGGAAGGCCCTCAAAATTGTCAAAGACTCCAGTCACCCTAGTCATAGACTGTTCTCTCTGCTACCGCACGGCAAGCGGTACCGGAGTGCCAAGTCTAGGTCCAAAAGACTTCTCAACAGCTTCTACCCCCAAGCCATAAGACTCCTGAACAGCTAATCATGGCTACCCGGACTATTTGCACTGCCCCCCCACCCCATCCTTTTTACGCTGCTGCTACTCTGTTAAGTATTTATGCATAGTCACTTTAACTCTACCCACATGTACATATTACCTCAACTAGCCGGTGCCCCCGCACATTGACTATGCAACGGTACCCCCCTGTATATATAGCCTCCCTACTGTCACTTTATTCTATTGTATATATAGCCTCCCTACTGTCACTTTATTTTTTACTTCTGCTCTTTTTTTTCTCAACACTTTTTTGTTGTTGTTTTATTCTTACTTTTTTTGTTTAAAATAAATGCACTGTTGGTTAAGGGCTGTAAGTAAGCATTTCACTGTAATGTCTGCACCTGTTGTATTCGGCGCATGTGACCAATAAAATTTGATTTGATTTGATTTGATTTGAAAACCAGATGGGATGGCGTGTCGCTGCAGAATGCTATGGTAGCCATGCTGGTTAAGTGTGCCTTGAATATTAAATAAATCACAGACAGTGTCACCAGCAAAGCACCCCCACACCATCACACCTCCTCCTCCATGCTTCATGGTGGGAACCACACATGCGGAGAGCATCCGTTCACCTACTCTGCGTCTCACAAAAACACGGTGGTTGGAGCCAAAAATCTAAATTTTGGACTCATCAGACCAATGGGCAGATTTCCACCGGTCTAATGTCCATTGCTCGTGTTTCTTGGCCCAAGCAAGTCTATTCTTCTTATTGGTGTCCTTTAGTAGTGATTTCTTTGCAGCAATTCGACCATCAACGCCTAATTCACGCAGTTTTTTGTCATGGCTTTAGAAGCTTCTGATAGGCTAATTGACATCATTTGAGTCAATTGGAGGTGTACCTGTGGACGTATTTCAAGGCCTACCTTCAAACTCAGTGCCTCTTTGCTTGACATCATGGGAAAATCTAAATAAATCAGCCAAGACCTCAGAAAAAAGATTGTAGACCTCCACAAGTCTGG